AGAGCGTTTTGAGGCTCGGTCTCCCTCCCTGTGCCATCTGCACATGTTCAAGCACATCAGCCTGCAAGGGGGTGCTTTGCTCAATGGCCACCAGCAAATCAGAACACTTTTTCTCCTTTCTAACTTCTAATTTCCCCTTGTCCAACTGATTTCATCACCTAAAACCAAACAGCTCTGAGTAACATTTGAAATGTTAGGACTTAAAAAAATAAAATATGGTAAAAATACAGCTTACTCCTCTGCTAAACCTAAGGCACTACTTTTTGTATGTGGAACGTATTAAAGTCTGGAAGAACATTAAGTCACATCCCAATACATATTATCAAACATGATTATTACTGTTTTCTTCATTTCAGCTGGTAAAATCCAACTTTTTTTTCACACACAGTTATTATGAGGCTTTGCATGTTAACCAAAACATCAATTACCACATTATGGCATATAAGACATAATATACATTAAATAGTTATTGGTAAGTTTAGCAGCATCTAAATACCGGTATAAGAAGCCACCATTCCAGGAATGGTCCAGGGAAGCAGCCTTTGCTGAGTTATCTGCTCACAACAGAGAACTGGCAGCAAAGCCAGCCAAGTTCCTAAAAGCCAATAAGGGAGAAATGGGAGTGTCTAAAATCACAAGCTAAAAGCAAAGGGTTGGCCACCTGCAGACCATGGAAATACTTAGCCAGCATTCATGAACGTGAGAAAGCCACGATACGGCAACCTTTTAAAAGTGATCCTCCGTGGCACTTTCTCCATGGACTCCACCATTAGATGCATGCATGGGGTTCCCACTTTCTTTAAAGAATACCAAATATAGGTAAGTATTTACTCTAAAAGTTTCTCATTTGAAACAAGCAAAGCTTCACACATCGTCTAGAATGGAAATAAAATGGCTCATGTATAATGAGGTCAAACTGAAGCATAATGTTCAAATAGAATGGCAGTCAAGACTAGCTTTTGTATGTAAAATACTTAGGCATGCAGAATATGAAAGCGAAATCAATCCTGTACATCTGATGTACACAGAGAGGTGGTCTGTGCTGCAGTAAGTGCAGTTCCAGATTTCAGATCTTCACTACAAAGGAGCATCCACGATAAAGTGGCTTCAAGGGACAAGAGGGCAGAAGGGAGGCCAGACTGTACGGCCAGTTAATTGGTGACAGGCTGCTAGGGAAGAAAAACATGTAAATAAATAAGTTTGGGGATACACTAACAGGAACGATTCCAAATTGTACAAAACAAGACAATGACCCAGATCTAGTATCCATATCAATAAAACACCAATACGTACTGATTATGGCTCTGTTAATAGCAAACAAGAACTGGTTTCTGTTGTGTTGTAGCCCACAAACTTGCTTGTCAAAGTCAGACCCCTGAGTAACTGCTCGCCATGAAGAAAAGAAGGACGCAAATTTACAATTGTCTGACAGCCTCTAATCTTTTCTTTCTTCAGTCTGATCTCACTCTCAGCCTTTGGCATGCTCCTTTCTGCCCAAATACAGGGCTATGCTGAAGTCAAGGGTGTCTGTTCATGGAAAGAATAACGTGGGACTGGGTAATAGACTGCAATTTGCCATAAACATATCTCACTGTTCATGTCATGTGCCTGTTGCATACCAAGACCTTGGAAACAACACAGAGAAAGCATCTTTCCCTCCTCTTGTGTGGCTGCATCAGCAAGGGCAATCACATGCAGACAGGTATGTTGCACAGATGTAGGCACCTGATACAACACATCAAATAGCCTGAAAGAGTTTAAAGCATTCCGTTTATCCAATTTTCACTCTACATTTACAATACAATTTAAGCCCTCAAGATTTGCCTTTTAAAAGACATCATTAAGAATAGTAGTGGGCAGGGAGCAAGAAAGCTCCCACTGGCCCTGCACACACCAGGCAGCACAAGTGTACTTCCCCTCCTGCCCACTGCCATACTGCAGCCCAGCCATGCAAGGGCCATCACTACCAGTTCTAATTCTGTGTTTTGTTCAATTTTTGGCATTTCCCCTGAAAAAGGCAGCAGAGGCAAGTTAGTGGGACTGCAGAAATGAGTTTTTACTGGATTCACATGCATATAAAAAGTGAGTATGTATATATTCATAAATATAAATACATACATATATATATATATAAAAATTATCACCTGCTTTGTAAAGTTAGCATGGATGCTAGATAAAGCTGGCTGTCTTGAGTTGGCTATTTAGTTTGTGACAATCTCATTCAACTCAGAGAAAACTTACTTATTACTAAGGACCCTTCTGCCTACATAGCACTATACTGACTGTGGTGAAAGCTCATTCTGGGTGAACAGATTTGTATCAGTAGATGCAGCCAAATCTGAAATTGCTCGAGTCAGAAGAAACTGCACATGAAAAGGCCCACTCCATTCTTTCATACGCTTTCTGCATTCCGGTAGCTCATAAAAAAAGAAGCTGCCTCATCCAAAACAACTGGATGAAGAGAGTTTGAGGAAACTAGTAGCTTTGCACTACTTGTTCCCTCTAGTGGCAGCCCTCTTTAAATGCAAAAATGTATTCTCCATAAACAGAAACTGGCATTGGCAAAGCAAAATGCTGCAGTCTTTCCTGGAGTTCTTTAGAAAGAAACACTTTTTCTTCTGAAACACACTCATCTATTTACAAATATAAAGAACATGTTCCAGCTGCAAAATCATCACACATGTTAAGAAGCACACACACAAAAAACTATTCACGTTTTTGGAACAAGGTATGAACCTAGTGAAATAATTCTAGTCCTTGTAACGAGACTGGCATCCAGACAAACTGTACACAGGGCTGGATGAGTGTTCTTTACCTGATTCTCCAGGAAACATCCTGTCTTTTAATTCTAAATTTATCTTTCAAATAAAACATCAGACTCAATACATAACACCATATGCACACGCAACTCCTTTTCTCCTGTTTTTGTGCCTGAGAAACAAAGTAGGTAGTTTGGAACAGACTAAATGAAAACTGAGTCCAGCCAAATACCTTACAGGAAGCTGCTGGAAAAGAAAAAGCTGCCTGGACCAAAGTAACTCTTGACAGAAAACTTATTTCCTAATCCCAAGTTACACTTTCAAATTCACAATTTCAAGACCTGTGATTGATGCAATTCTGTACCTGCTAAGTCAGGAAATACAATTACAGTATGACATGGCAAGGAGCTGCTGTAAAAATACACGTCATTTTTGCTTTATCTGCAAAAGAGAGTGATATCTCCCAGCATTAAGATTGATACCTATCTGCAAAAAGGAGTTTTTTATAGTAACTTTAAAAAGAAGCTGCAGCAGTGGAACAAGTGCAGAAATCAATTCTACATTGTACACATTTTCTAATATCTTCTCATCGCTTTTAAGTGTAGAAAGTGACTCATGAATTCTTGTCATAACATCGTATTGGTTGGTAAGAAGCAAAGTACCAGTCCTAACTTCAAATACAACCTTTGAACTAATACAAGGCTTCCATGATAAGAATTCAAAGCTAAAAACTTTTTAGAGACGACATAGCTGACGAAATATTAATCCCTGTAAGTCTAGAAAATCCCTTTCAATAGATAAAACCATTCCTCATTCCACCCTTGCCAGATTTGGGGCTAGATTAAGAGTTCTTGCAGCTTTTGATTATCATGAATATTCAGCTACTGATGGTGCTAAATGGGATGTCTTCTGCCCTACCTGTAGCAGCAGCAGGTAATTTTCTCTGCTTAAAGAACCTACCAGAAATGGAAAACAATAAAAAAAGGTTCTGATCCACATCCTGCCCTGAAGCATATTATCATTCTTTGTTTAACCTTAAGACGTATGTATACTCACATCCAGGTAAGTTAAAACACTACTTGCCAACTTGCCTTGGATTTGTCCCGTGCTTTCTAGAAGCGGCTTCTTCCTTATTTGTTAACTTATAAATCCACACACACACACTCTGCTGCTTTTTGCTCAATTGCACCAAGTATATTTGTTGCTAAGAGGTTTCTCAGAGTGTCTCTAGTGTAAGATTTAAAGTAAATCCTTTCCTTTCCTTGCATATTCTCATCTAAGGAAAACACAGTGCCAGAAGGGCTCATGTACAACGTGCAGACTTTATGGTAAAGTATAATATAAAAATACTATCTGCTGCAAAAGCAAGGTAAAATGAGTATCTGAACACCAAGTTATGCTCCTAAGGCCCTAAACTAGTGCAACTGTATAGGATGCTTTATTTTCCAGTCTTACTGTGGCTTCCTTTGGGCTTTTACGTGTCTGAAAATCCCTTCAGCATCAACTTACTGCTTTCTGCAGAGAGTTCAGGTAACAATGATTATCATTTTAGACAGCACTTCTGTTCTAATGCATTTATCTTACTGTGGTGGTCGTATCATCAGTTTGATATTGTATCATAAGACCTTTCTTACAGTGCTAACCAGCATCTTCTGCATCCCATCTGTGTCACCATGGATGAGTTTAGAAAACAATAGAGAAATCACAAACAAGATGCTCAAGTTACCTTGAAGCAAGCAGTATGATACTCTCCTATGAATGAAATATTAACTGGTCTTTAGCTCAACAAAAATTTCAGTAACTTCAAGATGAGTATTTCCTAAGTAAGATTTTGTGGAAACGAACGTGTATGTGTGTGCGTGTGTGCAATCACTTCTTCCATTTTTCAACTTTAAAGGTCAGTTTTTATATAAGAAGTTCTGTTTCACTGAGGCTAGTTAATTTGGAGAAAAAAGAAAAGTAGCATCTTGGGCGTAAGAAAGAAATTTGGGCATTTGCTACAGTTCCACCGTCTGAGGAAAAGATACTGTAAAGAGAGAAGCCAAGTTAGAGCTAAGGATAGGAAGAGAAGAAAAGAACTGAACTACGGTTCACAGAGAATGAAATTTCACTTTCCATTCCCACAATGAACACAGGCCCAAAACCTCTTTAATTTTGTCCCTTCATATGGATCATAAAAGTTATCATCAACACTGCGAGGCCAACCTGCCTTCAAACCCAGGAGTCATCAGCCACTCTTCTCCTCGATGCTTAAGTTTCACCCTCACATACAGCACAGCATGATCAGCTCCATCTCCCTAGTGAATGTTCCCGATACGAAACACATCAACACTCTGAATATATATTTTAAATGGTGCTTGTCTTTCTCTCACTAATTTGCAGCCTCTGTTGCAGTCACTCTCACATGTACTTTTGTACTTACCATTGGAAGGTCTTTGAGAATCTGGATACCGTCTCCTGGACCCATATGTGCTATGTGGTTAAAATTAGTTGGGTTAGAAATTAATTTATTTCTCATTTCTGGATCACGTAGCATCTCCCTGGAAGAGAAGATACTTTGTTTAGGTATTTAGTCCGAGGTGAGGATGGACATTAATAAAACATGTACAGCTTTGATTATCAGCTACTTTTTAAATGGAAATTAACTCTTTAGCCATGTTAACAGTGATAAACCCTTGCCATCAGCACTGGCAGTGACAAGCTTCCAACTTGAAGACAGGGCAACAGGCCAGAAGAAAAGAATGCTGTTTGCAGGCTAACAGCCCATGCCCAGTAGTTACTGACATTCAAAGAATATACAACTGCTATGAGCTGATACAAAGCTCTGTAAGATGAGTAAAAGCAGAACTTGTTTGTGATGTATTACAAAGTGGAGATGAAAATGAAGTACAAAATATGAATATAGAATTAAAGTAATACTGCAGTACCTTTCTCAGTCTGTGGTCAGAATTAAAAGCTCTTCAAAATGGCAAGGATGCATTTCAGAACTCAGAATAAATAACATTTTAAAATACCAAACCACGATCAGCTCAGAAAAGGCAAAGACAAGAACTGGAATTTCATCTCCACTGTACACAGCTGTTACTTTTCTTACAGCCAAACAGAAAGGAAAGCTGGGAGCCAACCATCGGTGGAAGACGTTGGAAGTTAGAAAACTGAAATACTTAGTTCTTGGAGTGTAGCTTAGCACAGTAGCAGGTCATCTTTAATGAGTGACAGCAAATGGTCAGTAACATCTTCCATGAACACTGAGCAGTGCAGACCTATTTTTATTGCCATTTAGGAAAGTGTTTGTGACCTGTTTAAGACTTCTATTAGAAACACATCCTGAAGTCCTACGTCCTCTGAAGAGGTGAGTTTTCTGAGATTTACAGAATGTTTATGTAGTTAAATCTATAAACCGAAAAAGTAGATGCCTTGGAATACTGCTGAGAGTAGAATTGCCTTCAGAAAGAAAAGCAGAACCAGAGTCTGAAAGTAATTAATCCATATGCATAGTTAGCAATGTCATCTCCTTTTGCACAGTGTTTATTACAGATCTTTATATATACAGTATTATGTACACACCTATGCACCTATACACAGTATGTGAAGACATGCATTCCAAATCACAGCTGTTTCACATAATTAATTTGAGCTAATGAATTCTTATGTATCCAGTGCATATCCACATCCAAACCGGTATTAACACAAATTAAACATTGAGGATTAACGCGGTAGTGAAGAGACAGAAACATCTGAAGCAACAAATGAAGTACCACATTGGCATCAGTCACCGTTCTTCAGGGCCTACAGGCATGTACAGAACACAAGTACGTGTTGAATACCGACCTCCTCTGCTGCATCCTCTCCTCCTCTGGTACTCTGAATGAATAGCGGCGCTTGTTGTTGATGTTTCGGACCATTTGCTTCCGGCTGTTATCTGATGTCTCGGGAACTACCAGTTCATCGCCCTCTGGAATCAATAGAAATATGATGATCATAGAATCATAGAATGGTTTGGGTTGGAAAGGACCTTAAGTATTATCTAGTTCCAACCCACTGCCACAGGCAGGGACACCTTCCACTAGAGCGGGTTGTTCAAAGCCCTGTCCAACCTGGCTTGATCCAACCATGATTCAGTGGGACAATTCAAATTCATGGAATTTGAATTCTAAGATGTTTTCTCCCTCTGCTCTTGCTAGTGTTGGACACCACCTATTTCCCATTAAACCTGAACAAATGCTCCTTGGTTTTTGGGCTTTCTTGGTCATTATCTAGCTCTGTTTTACAGCAACAGACTTAACCCTTCTTCCCACACAAGCTGCCACAACTGTGTTCTCAAACTACCACTGATTCTTTCAAAGAAAACATTTAGGTGGGCAGGAAATGATCTCAGTCCTCTATCTCAAACTTTCTTTGGCAGTTCTCACTGAAAATCACTAGAACAGCCTCTTGTTCTGTCAATCGTCTGGAACTCAAGATTCTTTTTCATTCATTCTCTGCTCCAAAGAGACTAATCCTTCTGAAATGTTTGAACACTGATGTGTTTTGGTGTAACTGTGGGAAAAGGGAAGATTTCTTCCACATGTGTGCATCTGGCCAAGGCATCTCTAATAAAGACATGAAGTGTATAGCAGTGATGATCACACAATAGAAGCGCTACTTTGAATGAATGCTGCAACTGCTCTGTCTTGTTTTATATATATGGAGACTAAAGTTACGCTTAATAAGCTTGAACATACCTAACATGTACTGCTCACTGCCAAAACAGATTTTGTATGGAGCTGAAAGCTTTTCTTTCATTAAGCTCAACTGGAGATTACATGTAGTGTGGGTTCTACAAGGTAAGTAGCTTCAGGAACAAAACTTCAGACTTACAGATACACCTGGAGGATACCTCTACTGTTTGGCAGCCACTTCCAAAAGATGGTGAGAAGTGTACATGAGCAAAGCATCAGCCTTACTCACTTCTGATCCTATGCTTTCCATTTTTTCCCCTCTTCTGCTCTATTTTTAATGCCCAATCTTTATTAGTCTTGAAAATTCTTTATACATACTTTGCCCGTATTGCTCCTCTCTACCAGAGTCATTCCTTTTGTACTAATTTCCTAGCAATTTAAATAAACACTGAAACACTGCCAAGAGCACTGTGTGTTTCTGGAGTTTTATTTCCACTATTTTCAGAATAGTTGTTAAAAAGAATTATAGCTTTTGACTGTTAAAACAAAGCACATCCCCTCTCCATCCGAGAGATTAAACAAAAGATTAAGGAAATTACTCAGGAGTATGCTTATAAAACGGGCTGTAAAAAGAAAAAAGGCCAAGAAGACTCATAACAAAAATAGAATTCTGAAGCTAAAACTTTGGCACATAATCGTATGTGGCCCTAATAACAAGTTAAGAATACATAATACTGTATTACTTTCTGACTCTTGGGCAAGGTTTGTTCAGGTTAAGTATAGTATCAATTCTAACCTAGTACTGCTGAGATCACTATTAAAGTCTTCAACTGTGCAGGCATTTTTAGATAGTGTTCTGGTAGGTGAGCCCAGATCTGACGGGAGCATCTAGTCATTCCATTTTCTATTTCCAGTCTTCACTGAATATTCAAAAGGGAAATAAGAGTTCAGAGTAGCTGCCTAGCAGACATCATTGCAATCACTGTGGAATCTGTAAGCTTTGGCTCTCTCCAAAATTAACATATGTTTGAGAGATCACTTTCTACAATACACAGATCCAGGCCAAAGAAAAGTACTCTTCCTAAACAAAAATTCACGTGGTAAAAATTGGCTTCTCTTTACTTACCTGCCATTTTGTTTTTGAAATATATTAATCTAACTGTCTCCAGGCCTAAAAGGTTTAGTGATCCTTCTGTATTCAAGGGTCGTACCTGAAACAAGGGAAAAACAGTCCTTGTAATAGTAGTAACTCACATATATATAGTGCATCTTAATCTGAAAGCTCCAAGGTGCATTATAAACACTGTAAAAGGAGCAACTGTTACAAAGCCAGCCAGAGAGCAAGACAGTGTAAGTGGCCAGAGCAAAGCTTGCTCCACAGAACTGCAGGCTGGAGGGAGCAGTGTCTCCTATCTCCAGTGACATGTGCCTGCTCTCTAGATTAGCAATTTTGAGTCACTAAAGCCATGAAGCAGAGTTAAAAACAGTTTTAGATTTTAAACTTCTGTTTGGAGAATAAGTACAGAGGGAATTACCTAATATTCCACTTAAAGACATAGGCTTAACACCATTCCTCTCTTCATATAGCAATTCAATTTTGTCTGTTAGATGCACAAAGCAATAATCTGTGCTTTTATTTTGTGTTAGTACCATATCACAGTTATGCTTTGCAACTTAAGAGGAGTATATACAGATTGCTAAAACCTATGGGTATTCCTGATTTCCAACTTAAAAATGAAAGAAGCATCCCACTCTCTGAGTCTGCAAATTGTGTTAGAAACAAACTCTTCATAATAAATTGCTAGTTTTCAGTCTCCTAGAGGTAGAAATTCTTGTTTGTTGAAAGTAGTTTTGTTCATTAAATGGGCAGTCTTGAGCCAAATATTAATCACTATACTAAATCATACTATGTGCTGTAGGAAAAAAAAAAAGCACCAACTACTTCATAACTCAACATCTGGACATCAGAAAGAGTAGAGGAAATCTCCTGTAAAAGGCCGTATTCTTCTCTCCTGAAGATGGTAAATAGCTGAGCACCTCAATCTCTGCATTATTTATCCTTACAGCACTGCTGTAATAGCCTGACCTGCATCTGACACGTGGGAAATTGATATACAGAGAGACAGAATGACTAATACAAGACCACAAGGGCAATTTCTTGTAGTTCTGTGTCACTGGAATGCCAGTAAAGGAATTGACAATAACACAAAGTTCAAGTCAGTCTAAACTATGAGGAAAAACACACTTTTCTTTCTGCTTTCCAAACACAGCTGAGCAAACACCTCCAAAATACCAAGGAAGTGTCAGTTTTCAAAAACTTCTGCCTTTTGACAAGCGATCCAAACCTGACATCATCCTGGTTTTAATATTTGTCCTGGTTGAATTAAAGTGTTCTAACCCTGTCCACAATATTCTCAAGCACCAGAAGGCAGATTATCTTAACATCCACCATCTTCTGGCAATAACATATATGCAATCAGGCCCAATGGAGCCGAATGCAATTAATACCAAGAAACTACTCCCTGCAATAATATCAGTAAGTCTTTACATACTCATATGCTCCAGATTGATCATTCACCCATAAAAACAAACCACATGCACCACCACATGCAATACCCATTTGGCATCTCACATTTTGAACAAAAAGCACTAGTTTCTTTGCAATAGCTCTTCTAGTTCAACTGTGTTTAGGCAAGCAGTTATAATGATGGCTTCAATATGCTTAAAAACCCTGGCATGGCTGTAGCAAAGCAAGGTTGAGTCTAGACATATTCTTTAACTGATACTGAAACAGCAAGTTACCTTTTTGAGAGGAATAGTCTGAATCCACTCCATGGAGTTCACGTCGAAGATATCAATTGCATTTTCACTGTACACAGAGAGGTATGGTGCATTGTAACCTGAGGGGGAATGATAAGGTATAGTGTGATGCGATTTTAGACAGGGCTCAAAATATACAGTTACTTATGGTTTAACCGTATTTATGAAAACCAACCCCACATCCCACAGTCCAACAATGATTTTTGCAAAATATGTTTTAACTCAAAAATGATGAAGAAATTTATCCTGGCAAACCAACACCACCAAAAAACTTAAAACCTCCATGGCTTTTCTTTTAACTTTGCAGAACCAAACTACTTTTTGAACTACGAGGGATTACAGTTTACTCTGCCAAACACTGATGTGGTTTTAAAGGGCTTTTTTTCCTTCTAAAACCTGTATTTTTAAGAGCTCTTATTTTGTAAATGATGCAGTAGGAAAATATACTGTTGTTAGTTAGTAACTGTCATTTGAATGAGCTGAGCTCTTAGTCTTTGGACTAGGTACTAAATTAACAACAGTTGGAACTAAACACTGTGACATAGTCATAAAAATCTTCCTGATTCCTTCTAGCTTTAATTCTGTGATTTTCTGGATTGTGAAGAGAATTCTCGTGCTACTTATCTGGCACATTTCCCCAGGATGAAATCTGTTCCACTGGGACCACTTCTAAAGGAGAATTCAGTATTTCCATGTCGGCAACAAGACTGCCGTGGTCTGCCAAGACTAACAAGATCATCCAATTTGTGTTTCAATGGAACAGGTTTTGCTATAAAATATACCTCCATTCTGAACTGGAACAACATCAAATCACTTCATCTAAGGCAATCAAAAATCCTTCACAAATATCAGTGACCAGTATAGAAGAACTACATGTGAAAATGCCTGATTTTCAACTGATTACAAAATCTTTTCACTCATCCATTCTCTTGAATCCTGTATAATTATCACACTCTTGGCTTGAAACCCAGAAGTGACGTAGAGCCTGTAAAAGTTGCTCCCCTTCCACATTCAGAAAGGGCTTCACTCAAGCAAGGTGAAACATCCCTCTCGTCTGCAGAGTGACTGTACTGCTGTCACAGTAAGCTAAGAAGGCAGACCATGCTAAAAATCAATGTAAGACTGGGCTCATTCACAAAAACTCTGAGGACAAATTTGGCTAATCTTTATCTGCATTCAGAAAGACATTAAAAAGAAGCGGACAGGCATTGCGGGGTTTTTCCTCCCTCCAACTGTCACAAAGCCCCAGCTTTCAGCAAATGTGCAATAAATGTTTTAACAGTTCTTGCTGGAAACATAGATCTTGAAAAATTATAGTATTTTTCCCTTAAGGTTATGAAATATATTATCTACGCTGCCTGCCATACATTGTATTTTAGAAGGGAAGAGGGAAACACAGAGGGGAGAACTTAAAAATGATTTTTTTTAAAGAGCAAACAGAAGAGATGGGTGAGAAGAGTGTCCACTGCTGAGGAAGAGAGAATGATGGAATAAGGGAAAAAAACCCAAACCCCATTAAATTGGAATAAACACCATTAGAGAAAAGCAAGTCAAACTACCATATCCTAACAACTCAAACCACAGTTGAATTTTAAGACTTTAAATAACAACAGTCCCATCTGTATCAGTGGCAATGAATGTATGAAGTTCCCATTAGCCTCTTGAGGCCTTCAGCTGTTCTAGAGAGCAGGGCATGTATTTAAAAAGTGGACATCAGATTTAGAAAGCGGAATCTTTGTGTTCCAGCAGCATAGGTCAGTGACAGCTCTGTCAAGCCTAGCTTAAACAAGATCAGGATAAAACTCTGACCAGATTAAACACGTTGAGAGATGCTGAGAGCATTCATTTACCTGTGAGGTAATTATCCCTGCACTTCACTTCCTGTGGATATTAATACAAGCAGTGATCACTTCAATGAATAACAGCAAGTGACACACATGACAACTTACAGCAAGAAGATGGAGTTGCAGGCCACATCAACTCTTGTTGTCTGGATCTTCGGCCCTGGCAGTCAACGTAAACCCCTACGCTGCTAAAACACAGCAGGTACTCTTTATTTGAGATTTCGACTGCACAGATGGCATCAGTTGGCTGCTGCGAGATAAATGAGAGTGTGTGGTCATCTGGATGGAGCAGACTGTATGGGCTGCCTTCTCCGTGAAGGGGGTATTTTAGGAAACCTGACTGGTAGCCCACACAAAGACGATCACTGAAGATTGACATCCACTGGACATTGCCCTGGACTTGGATCTCCTTCATCTTTTTGTGACGTGTCTTACTCTGATTTAGTTCATAACAGAGGACCTGCCTTTTCATAGCCACACATAGGCAGGTAAGAGCTCCATGACGCACATGTCCAGAAACTATTGACTGACAGCCTTTTGTCTCTGCCAGCTTATAGAACTCAGTCTCCCTTCCATCCAGGGCAGCCATAGGGAAAAGGCGCACGTGACGGTTCCGTCCTGAGATCACTGCAATGAGCTGTTCACTTGGGATAAGCTCGATCTGATGAACCTTCTTATTGTCACCAACACGGATAATCTCTAAAAAAAAAAACAAACCCCAAAACAAACCCCCCAAAATCCAAGTAAATCATGTTGAAGTGTGAATTGTTTATAACATACATATTTGTAAAGACGAACTATCAAGGAAAGCCAAGAAATCCCCTTTATTGCTTCCCTGCAATATTAAAAAGTACAGAATCAAAACTTGTAGTTTAATAATACCAGATGTGGCTGGATAGACTTTTGGCTTTTCCTCATCAGAAGAAGGGAGGAGAAGATTCCGTGCAGTAACACCCACTGTATCATTTCAGTATTTATTTCAAAAACAACTGATAGCCACAAACTCCTGAATAAAGGAAAACCCTCAAAGAACCAAAATGTACAATTAAACATCTTGCCTGTTGAATTAGCTTGGGCATCTGTCATTACATCTCTCTGCAATACTGGACATAAAGTTTTCATTTCTAATACCATGGTGGAGGTTACAGGAAGGATCAAGTCAGGCTCCTTACTGAGGTGCACAGCAGGATAAGGGGAGACATAGGTCACAAACTGAAATGAGGGAGGTTCTTACTGGATATATGAAGAAAATGTTTCATTGTGAGAATAATTTGCAAAAAGCAGCACAGTGAGATTATGGAACCTCTGTCCTTGGGGGTTTTCAAGACCCAACTGGACAAAGGCCTGAGCAATGTGGTCTGAATTCAGTATTGAGCCTGCTTCAAACAAGGGGAGAAAACCTTCAACTGCATTCCAGACGCTGGATCTTTCTCATTGGAAAGGATACCCAAACCAGAGAGCACACATACCACCTTCATGATTATCAGCTCTTACATAGGGTTGTCCAGCTGGTAATGTAGTAAGTTAAGAAAAATTAAACCAGAGGATATTGATAGAGGGAAGAAAAGATTACAAACTCACTTTGTGATTATTTAGTATTAGGGAAATTATTACCAGTTCCTAATCTCTTACCGTCTTTGGTGACATGTACAACGAACAACCCTTCTTCATTCCCCAGAGCTATTCTTTCATGGTCTATGAGATTAAGGAAAAAAAAAAAAAAAAGATTATTTTTCTTTGGAAAAACTTGTTGAACAATAGTGAAAACTCCATTAACAGACACAGGTTTGTAATATCTTAAAATAAACAGATATAGAGCCAAACCCAACACATTTATGTAACAAACACTGACAACCTCCCAGTCATTCAGATTTTTGAAATAAATATAGAAGCAAGAGCAAGAAACACCATTTTTAACAAACCATTCAGAGCACTTACGTGTACTACTGACTTTGAAATAACTACAGTGTCATATTTAAATAATGTATATAATCAGAATTTATGATACTTTATGCTGTAGCATTTAAAATGACTAAATTGATTCTCTGATTTTATGTATTCACATATTCTCTCTGGTCCCACAAGCGTATTTTGTAAAGTCAGTGATTTATATCCATTTTATAAAATTAATTTTGCCCAGTTCTGGAATTATGTACATAGAATAACAGAAGAGTAATGCCCAATTCTCAAAATTATTCATAATTATGCATAAGTGTGAACAGGGGGAAATATTCTTAAAGATCTGACAATACCACTGGACAGTGAACTGCAGTTCTTCCAAACCCATGCACATTTTCCTACGGGATAAAACCACCACATATTTTCACACCACCACATCTAGTCAGTATATAATGCTATTTAACACTTCTTTTTTAAAAAAAAAAAAAAAAAAAAAGCATGCTTTTAGCATACCCATTTTTCTTCTTATTCATTTCATACCTATGATTGCTGCTGACTGTGTTGTTTTGATGAGGGGTAAGGTGCTGTCATAAGCTTCTTTGGGAACATAGACTGAGCGGTCTTTGAGTTTGTTCTTCTTCAAGATCCTATGCAATTCATTCAGCACTCCTACCCACTTGCTCTTTTCATTCTCACCGTCTGCTAGAATCAGGATTGAACACTTATTACTGGATGCAGAGAGCTGGGAAGCTGTAACCTGGAAAATTTTAAAATACACATTTTAAGCCATAAGCAAAAGTAAATAAATTCATCATGATCATTTTTATGAGAGTATCAGATGCCTGTAAGAGCCCCTTTAAGTAACTGTCTGAACTAAGAATGAGAAAATGTAGCCTTAGCTAATAAAATACACTCTACCTCAATCAAGAACCTACAGCAGAAAAACCTGCAGATGTAACTCAGCAAAGAACAGAGAAAACTCTGGCTTCAATCTAAATGCATTTGTATTTATTCTGTAATTCTGAAATGTCTGCCCTAAATAAGGTAGTCAGTTGTTTCTCACAGCTATTTATAATGAAAAGCATTTCTTACAAAGTAGTCTTTATTTTTAAGTTTTTGTTAATAATTTAATGCAGTAGGAATGGTCTTTATGGAAGAATGATCAGCAGGCAGAGTGATGAACAGTTTGAAAGCTGTAAAAACAAGGAATGAAATACAATGGGGTAGTAAATAAATGATAGGGGACTGATAAGGACACCAAAGGTATTTCATTGAGGTCAAAGCTTCAGTAGAATACGAAGTAAAAGTAATATTAGAAAAAGCCAATGATGGCAATATCCTGATACTAGACATAAATTTTGATGAGCATTTTACACTGGATTTCTATACTGACTACCTGATGAATGGGAGTTTTCAGAGATCCAATGCATATATACAAAGAAAATACATTTAAAAAAGGCTTCAGAAATAACACAAGAAACAAAATTGTGAAGCAGAAGGCAACTTTAGGAAATGAACATGTAGATGGTCATGAAGAACAGAAGAATTCCAAATGACTAACAGAAGAGTGAGAAAAATATGTCTTACTGTGAAGGTCAAAAAAGAAAACCCAGGTAAAGGGGAGATGAGAGCTTGTCTAAATGTGCCACTGCTATTTTTAGCACAAAAATGATATATGTACAGATCCTTATGCATTGCTGCTGCTGCCATGGATACCACACACCCAGAACTTGCACAGAAAATGAAACACTAGTGAGCTGTCAGTGAATGCACACTGTAACACCCCGCTGGGAAACCCTGTACTGCTGGGTTACTAAGACATAATACTCACCCTAAAGATACAGGGGATATCTTTTCGATTTGCATGGATGACATCTGAGGCCAAGACAGAACTCACTGAGAATTCTTCATCCCTTATGGAGACCACAAACATAATTGGAAAAAGAGTTAAAGAGTAAAATCTGTGTGTTTGTTGTTTACTTATATTTCCATAGTGCCAGTAACCTTGTTTTGTGCAGGACACAACACCACAGTCCCGAGATCTAATTTTACAAATTATCCTTTCCTCTTTATCTGCAGATTAAACTCACAAATGCAATGTTGCATAATTAATTCCTGGTAAATGCTAATGGAGATAAGTCTATTCAGAGAATCTGGTTTTTGTCTCTTTAAATTAAAACCTTTTACAAAATAATAAATAAAAAAGTCAAACTTAAATAAGCCTGCACCAAGAACACCTCTCCCACTTTCATAAAAACACAAACTCAGTCAAAGCTATAAGCTACAGCTGTTTTAGACTTCCTGGACAGACCAATCTAGTTCAGAGATGAGCTTTGCTTAGTTGTTATGTTAAATGTTCTCACCTTCACTGAAGCTGGTAGTATTCCAGTAATACTGAAGAGAGTGGGATCAAACTATTTAGCTCTTCTGAACCAAAACTGGTATAAGTTTTACCCTATAACAAAGTTTTATGTGTCTTACAAAACTCTATTCAACCCCAAAAGAATGTATTTTTCTTCTCTGTTCATTGCAGATCTTTTACACAGCTGAACAGATGCATTTTGGCACATGATGTAGTAATGGAAGTTTAAACTGTCACATATGAACATACAAGTTCAGGCTAACTGCTAATACTGCCTTTTTCTGGAAAATGAGAGGCTCTCAACATGGATTACACTGTTTCATAAAAGCTTGGGAGCTTGCTTACTGATTTCACAAGAAGAAAAAGCAGGAAAAAACCCTCCCAGTGCCTCTGAAAAGCTCCCACTGAGCACCAAAGCACTTACCTCATGTCTATGACCTGACTCACTACCACGCTGGGCTGGGATGCTTTTCCTTCTGCTACATCATAGAGGAAGAGTTTAAAATCACAGATCACTGCCAGAGCTCTCTGCCAACCTTTCTTTACTCCAGCTGGTTTTGGTACCTTTAGCAAAACAATTTCCAATCAATTCTCTGTAAATTGCATGCAATCAAAGATCAGACAGTACAAAAACCAATTCTCTTTTTTAGGCTGACAAGCTTTTGTTCAGTGATAATGTTAAGCAACATAAGCTGTAGCAGAGGTGCAGTCAGAGCATCAAACACAGCCACACAGACACCACAAAATGTGACTTAAAAAATTCACAGCACTACAGATTCTTTCTTCTTATTCACAAACTGATTCAAAGCTGTATTAACCAATATAGAGAAAGAAACCCATCCCTAATTGGTCAACAGGAATATGGCCAAAACTATGTTGAATAATTTTGTTAGTGTTTATGTACAAGTATCCACACCAATGACCCTAAACAGTACTAGCAGCAACAGGGAGACCCAAAAACTCACAGGCCCTCATAGATGATCTGATCTCTAGAGATGGACTAATCAAGACCAAATCAAAGCACAAAGGCTGACAGAGATGGAGAGAGAAATACTGTTGAAAATGCTAAGACTTGTTTTGCCAAAATTTAGGTCTTGGTTTCCAAACTGTTACCTTAAGTTGTAACTGAATATGTCTCCCCCCAATGCCCCAATTAAAAGTTTAATTCTAGGTCTGGAAAACAACAGATTTAATATAAGTGCCCCAAATGTAGCTACCTGATACTTACTCGGACATGTCCTTCATAAGCTGTTCCTATGCCTTTCTGTGGATCTATTCCCAAAGGTCCCTTAGTTTGGTCGGGAGGGATTGGACATACTGCAGGAGCCTTGTCTGCACAGGTCACATGGCAAGAGAATCCACATACTTGGGAAGAGGAGGAGAAACAAAGAGATTTAATGGTTCTTTATTGTGCAATGCAAAAGCTGTGATTATGATGATATATATAAAGGGATGGTCAAATCTTTTTTTGACCAACAATTGAATGGTTTCTCTGAACTTTGCTACACTAAGACAGAAATGGAAATTTGGGCACAGCAGCAGTTCATGCTTTTATCTGCTCTAAATTCCAATTTTCTGATTTTCAGAGGTATCACAGTCTGGTTTCATCCAGGCAAAAAAGAGCCTAGTCAGAAGCTAACACTGAGATAATCTCTATGATTTCCTCAAGGCCCAACTTTACTAGCAAGCAAAAAGGTAGAAGCTCCTCTAAACGCTGAGTACCATTCGGATAACATACAATCCAAGAATAAATGAGCCCCAGAAAGAAGCAAAACTGGTACTGAAAGGGAAAGCTGTCTTACATTTTTCCCATCAAGTCAGAAAGCCAAGCTGCTGTCAGCATACTTGACTGTGGCCCTTTGTTGTTACTTGCTGTAAACTGAACTAAGCTCTTCTGCCACAACTGGAATAAGTATGCCCCCAGACAGCTAGGTAGTCTGTTACTTAAGATGTTCAAAGCATTTGGCTTCTACTGTCAAAAGACTGAAGCATGGTAACATACTCTGTTATTCAAATTATAAAACAGAAGACTCCTGCATTATCACACTACAACATTTACCGTCCAATTTGCATCTGTAAGAACTACAGTTCACACTTCCTGCTTTCACAAATGCTTACCTTCACAAGTACAGCCCTGTCGTATTAAACCGACCATCAGAGATGTGCATTGATTGCATTTTGTTGGTGTATTAAATGATTTCACTACAAACTGGTGGGCTTTAGGCTGAAAAACAAGCAGCAGACAAAGATGTTAATGCCTGTAACACTTCTGAAGAACTATGATTTTTTTCACAGACATAGGAGCGCATAGGGGCATTTAAAAAGGGAGCTTATTTGTGTTCACTGAAATGAGAGCCGCGCTCCTAATGCTGATAAAAGTTCCTTATCAGTGCTGGTTATTGATAATCTAAACCATCTTCTGCAAATGAAATCATGGAAACTGGACCTTGCCTCAGAACACGTTTGTTTCCATTGCAGATAGGAAAGTTGCTAGAATTATTGCACTCTAGAAGTTGAAGGTGTGTTTGTATGTGCTCGGTGGGCACCCAGCAGCCAGCCAAGGTCAACCCCCCACCAGCATTTTCTAAGCTGCAAATTCAATGCTCCTCTGTAAGGAGTGTTGCCTTAGTTCAAAGAAAAATATCAGACTTTTTCATAATTCTAATTTGCATGCCAGAAACCCATGACAGGGTTCAGCTTTATGGTGTCAGGCACAGGCAACTTCAGAATATCCAATTTAAAAGCAAAAGTGTAAGTGAAGCTGATTTTGGAAGGGCTTCTTCTTAGTTCTTGTGAACGCAGATTACATGAGTAAGTGTTTTAATTCTCGCTCTCCCCTCAAGGATGGTAATGCTGATGCTATGATATCAAGGCTAAATGACTATATAATGTGGTATAGTATGATTCATAAAAGACCTTATACAAAATCCAGGAAGCTGCTTAGCTTTTCCAAAAAAGAACATCCAGGAAAGGATACAGCCCAGGGTGAACACAAAGGCTGTCCGAACAACCTGGATAATGTTATATGATTTGAAGTAAGACAACTTTGCAGACTAATGAGTAGGTATATTAACATTTTACTCTGTTTCCTGCTTTTCACAGCATAAGATGTCACAGTTAAGGGCTCAGACTTCATCCATATTTAATGACAGTTTTACTGTTACAATGAAAGCTTTCTGCCTGCACATGGATGTCTTGTGTTGAAACTTGCAGGGAAACAATACTTTGCTTTAAAAACGGATGCAATCATAAAGTAAGAAGGTTCTTCAGGGAGCAATATATATTAGAAAGACAATCATTATTTACTGAGCAAAACATTTGCAAAAATTAAATAACATGCACACTAAAATTACCAAAATTAGTGCAGTTGATCTATTAAGATGCTGCCTCCAAAAGCAGTCTGCTGAAACTTTTTAGCTTTCCTTTACACAAATTAAGTCTTTTGCTATTTGCCATTTATCAAAGCAGAGAAACAGACCTATTAGAAAGACTTACATATGTTACTGATTAGTTGCAGAAAAAAACTGTCATTTATCTAAATATACAGAAGATTCCTAAGCCATCAATGCACTTCTGAAACTTTTACAAGAGAATTTTTCCTTTAATAGCTTGTGTCTTATTCCTCATTTGCTTGAATATACACAATTCACTGTGAATTAGCATACGCTGACTGGCTTATTTGGCCAACAGCAAAATAACTTCAACAACTGGTGTAAAAAAAAAAAATAAAAATCAGTATTTATTCAAGTAAAAAAGCCAGAACACAGAAAAACTGGAATTCCTTCTCCCAGTCCAGCGCTGCAGTGCTGGCTGTAGTGCTTCCTCTACACTGCTTATAAAATGCAAGTCTAGGGGTTAATTTTAGGCTTATTCTTCGCCTTTACTCAAAAATAAGCATCTAATTAGCACAGAGATCTGCTAAGCAGAGACTGGCCCACAGTGACATCAATTTAATTGTATGCAGAAGATAGAGGCAGGTGGGTCAGACACATGCAGGAAAACATTTTCTATGAAGTCTCTTTTATGTTCTTCATGTTCCGGTTCATTTATCTCCTTCCAATGTCCAAACCACTGTTTTTCCTATAATCAAGCTCCTGTGTGCTGCTGCAGCGGAATGCCTGGTACAACTTGTCACACCACATAATGTAAGAATGAGAGGTTTTAAATTGTAGAAAGCAACCAGCTTGCATATAAACAACCCTTCCAGGCAGTTCTGCTAAGCTCACTGTGATAAAGAGTCCTGAAGCTGTTGCCCAGGAGCAATGCTTTCCCCTTTACTGTATAAGAAGTGTGAACACTTGACTTAATACCTTTGGTGCAGAGAGTCCCGATCCAATATACGCTGTCCTCATGGTTGGTGTGTGAATTGAACGGGGAGGATGATCTGTAACCTGAACAGTGTCCCCAAAGGATCAATAAGACATCAAGTACACACTATTAAGGATAGCTTGAATAAAGTAAAAAGATAATTTTCCACCCACCCCATCCCAAAACACAGGAAAGGGTTCAGAAAAATGACGTGCAAGATTCATCTCCTAAATGTCAAAAATATATTATCTTAAAGATTTGACTGAATGTTTTATAATGTAAAATAATCAGAGAGTTAAATTTCTTAATAGTGAAAGGGGATACATTAAGATAGTTGGAGAGCTGGCTAATACTGCATATTGACAATACTT